CTGCTTGAGTGGTCATGGCACCCTGGGCTAAAGCATTGGGCCAGCCAGAGGGTAGCATGCTTCTGAACTCACAGGAGCCTGTGGCCAGGGTGGCTGGAGTCTCAGTGACCGTGGGACTACAGCCAAGGCAGCAGGTCCCTGGCGGAGGTGGCTGTAGAGTTCTGGGTGGTGTCTGAGGGCATCCTGGGTGGAGGTAAGGCTGCTCTCTCAGTCACAGCAGCTCTCCCCTTCAAGAAGGCATGGCCTCTGTGGTAGAGCCAGCCACCCCAGGATTGTTTGCAATGGTAGCAGAGGCTGCCTGGCCAGGCGAGCCCAGTCTGCCTGCCCCTGAAAGTCCTGCGGGATCTAACTGTCCCTCACTCGTGTGCACACGCACACACCCCACACGTCCACACACTCCCCTTTTGCTCCCTCATTCACTCATGCTCTCTCCCTCACTGCAGCCATCTTCCTGCCTCTGTAGTTGGGTCTGGAGTGTTACTGACCCATTCGTGGGTGGAGTCTCCTCTCCAGGTGTCTGGTTATGTCCATTTTGGCCACAAAGGTACCCAGCAAACTGCCCAACCTGGGCCCCTCAAAGGACTCAGCCAGGGCTGGCCTGGTACACAAGTCAGGGGAGCTAGTGGGCTGCATTGACCTCGCATGGGCACATGCTGCCAGCTACCCCAAGATTTGTTCTTAACCAGACGTGGGGAAGACACACTCCACTTTAGGGAATCCTATATGCCAGGCACCTACCTACATTGGCACTGCTCCTCTGAGCCATCCTGAAGAGGAGGCTTCTTGTCCCCATCACATAGGTGAGGGGAGTAGAGGGAAAGGACTGCATGCCATGTGGAAGTGACCAGGTCCTGTGTGACAGGCTGACACTCCCCTCCCCCACCTCACCAAGCCTCCCATAAAGCAATTTCAGGAGAAAATAATGATCTCACGCCAACAAATACAGGGGTTGACGGAAATCCTCAAAGGGAAAGTTGATGAGGAATAAGCTTTTCCTTCTCATTCAGGCCCAGATATGCCTGTTATTGTGTATTTACTGTGCTTGTCTTGACAAGTCAACAATGTCATTGATGTTAGTAAGGTTAATTATGTCAAGTCAGACACTTGTGAATACTGCTGTTCAGTATTCAGGACTGCCAAGTCACCTTCTTCCCCTGATAAACACCTCCTTTCCCCCTCAACTTAACTGTGTATTATTCCATAAAGCCTGTTCAAGTAGGGCAATCGCAAATGATGGGGATTGGCTACACTCTCAGGGCCAGCGCCAGACTCTTATTCTCAGTCTAGGGCAGCAATGCTCAAAGTCTTCCCTGGAGGCACTGCCACTCTGGCCCTGCTGCTCCTCACGTCTCCTCTCCCGTGACAACCCAAAGGAGCTCCCTGACTTGCATTCCCTTGGGTTCTTGCTGGGTTTTCCTGGATGGCTTTTTCAAACTTCTCTTAGCCGTGTCCAGTTGAGGGACATCCAGTGTTTTGGGGACTGAGCTGAAAGAGGCCCTAGCTTTTGCCAGTTGTCAGTACCACAGTGGGATGATGTGTTCCTGTGGGAACTCCAGAAAAGAACTGCCGCTGGGGGGGGGGTGTGCGGGGTACGGGGGGCGCTGTCTAGCCCGGGATCCACCGCAGATGGGCAGGTTTCTGCCAGGAAAAAACCAAAGCTGGTGCAGGAGGTTTGTAGGCAGAAAGGGCCCTGAGCCTGGTGTGCGTACAGGCAGTCCCAACTGGGTGGAATTCTCCATCCACCAGGAGCCCAACAGAGTCCGAGCTTTTATTCTGAACCAAAATTAGGAAGAAGTACAAAAATAACATGTGTGGAGATCACAAAGGACATCCCTTCTCCATCCCCAAAGGCACAATAGCGACACAAAATCAGACAACATGAGTCAGCCCTGTGCCAGCCGGGAGGGTGCTCAGGCCTCTCTGGATGGCCCAGCTCGAAGGGGTGGGTGCCACTCTGAAGCTCAGCTACAGGCCCAGGAAACCCCCCGGGGGCCCAATTATCAGAGAGAGCCTTTCCTGCCAGTTCTGCCTCAGGGTGCACACTTTCCCAGGAGCAGGAAAGCAAGACCTAAGCTGTAATTATCAATTCCTTGATTCAGTTTGCACCCCTTCGACACTGGAAACTTGAAGCCCCTTTCCTGGCCAGAGAGTCACCAAGGCTGTGGCTGACCTTGAGAACAAAGGCATTCGTTATCTCCAATAGACCTTTTTTACAGTTCACTGGCTTGGGATTCATCTCTTATGCTTTAATTTGCAATTATGAACCATATGCAATTCCAGAAATTGGCAATTTTTGACAAAACTGGCAGGAGGTAGGAATATTTTTCAGGATTTCCAAGAGACAATCACACTCAGAAGATATCTCTCTCAGAATGAAATCTAAAGTGCTTCCCTCAGCCTACAAGATCCTGGGTGAGCTGGCCCTGCCCCCTCTCTCCCCTCCAGCCACCCTCCTTCATGCTCACTCCTCTCCAGGCATACTGTCCCTCTTGTGGTTTGTGAAATAGGCCAACCACGCTCCCACTCACTCTCACCTCAGGGCCTTTGCACCTGCTGACCTTCTGGCAGAAATGCTCTTCCCCAGCTACCTGCCTGCTTCATTCAGGACCTTTGGTCAGATAAACCTTCACCAGACACCAGGAGCACACACTCACTTTCCTAAGTCAGCCACTGAAGCTTATCCTTTTGTTCCTATTGTATTAATATCTTCAAGTTGAATGTTAGGAAATTTGACAAATTCATATAAAGCCTTTTTGATGGTGTGTGCATTTTTATTTAAAGAGGCAAGAGTAAATGCTGTAAATCTATTTTATTTTTGTTTTGATTTTCATTCCTCTTCCAAATATCTTTCCTTTGCTTTGCCTTCCAATTGAAAGCCAAGAAGTCGGTACCTCCGAGTAGCTTCTATGAGACTCTATTAAATGAGCGCCCTGACATACTGGATGGCATGGACCTCGATGACAGTGTAAGTTGGATAAAAACTTGAGACCACCTTGCTTCCATTTGGGGCAGGAAGCCTCAGGTCAGCTGGCACTGCCTCATGAGCCCTGATATTCTTTGCTTTACTCTGTTGTTAGCACAGCCCAAATGAGCTTTCCTTATAACAGACCTACGTGTCAATGATGCACATTCAACCAAAGGGGGTCGTAGAAAGCCTAATGTGTTGCTCCAGGGCCTGAGTTTCAGAGGGCCCTGCTGGTAACCTAAACAAATATCCTCAAGATTGCTTTGAGTCCTGGCTAGGTGGCTCAGTTTATTGGAGCATCGTCCCATACACCAAAAGGTTGTGGGTTTCATTCCCGGTCAGGGCACATGTCTGGGTAACAGAGGCAACCGATTGATGTTTCTCTCTCATCTCTCTAAATACCTACCTACCTACCTATCTACCTATCTCCCCCACCCCCTTTTTCACTCTCTGAAATCAGTAAAAATATATATTTGGGTGAGGATTTTAAAAAAGATTGCTTTTGAAATCAGGAAAGTTCAAACAAAACATAAATCATCTAGATCTCAAGGCAAATCGTTCTGTGTAGAAACCCTTTGTAAAAATGAAGTTAGTTTCTGGAAAGATGACATAGATGTACTTTTCCCACTAAGTACAGCATAAAACCCTAGACATTACATATAAAAGAAGCATAAGAAACTTCTGAAAGGCAGAGAGAAGGCCGACTGGCTAGGAACCTGGGGACTTCATGAATGACATGGCAGCGAGTTTCCTGGGTTTTCTTTTTACTTCACGTGTCCCAGGCTGGGTGCCAGCAAAGACAGCAACCAACAACCAAACAAGCACAGACAGCAAAACGCTTAACGAAAGCTTGGTGTTTCTAACCAAAGGGTAGGAATGGGGCAGCCTAGCAAACTAAACCTTAAACGGCCCCCTCTGCAAGCAAACACCACAACAAACAGTAGTGAACCACCTAGGGGGTCTGCAGTGCTGCTAACACAGCCTTCGGAGGGGCACAGAACCAGCCCTGGAGGGTCAGCAGGCGTCCTTTCCCCAAGGGTGCCCAGTAACCAAGATGAGATGGACGTCATGACAGTATGAGCAAGCCTTACCTCTGTAGTATGTGGTATTGTCTTTATTGCATCAATTTCTTCCCCGCTGGCACAGCCTAGTGGCTCTAATTCCCTGTGTCAAACCTCCAAGACTGACCACACATGTTGACTCAGGCTGAAGCGTTATGAAGCATCCTCTCCGCTATGGCTAAGAAACCTCTCAGGATTGTAGGTACTGACTACAATCACAATACTGAAATCGTGTATCCCCGGAAATCAGGAAATCAATATTAAGCAGATGTATTTTTCTAAACTTACAAAAGAAAAGGCAAAAAAAGAAAAACAACTAAGTTGTTTGTTTTAATTGGGAAATGTTCTGGTCTCAATTCATATTTAGCCTTAAATTTCATACTTGACTCTATATATATTACAGGGTAGGGCAAAAGTATGTTTATAGTTGTTCATATGAAAAATAATTAATAGTCATACAGGAATAAAGTCTGTGTTTTGCATACTCACAACTGTAAATCTACTTTTAACCCACCCTGTGTATTAATAAGAATTGCTTTTCAAGTACTGAAATACCACACCCAAGGGAGAAAAAAGATTACACAAGAGCTTAGATTCACTGCATAGCATTTACTAAGACAGGAAAGTAACTCTGGCATTTTAGAAACATTTTTCAGCAAGAGTGAAAATCTAAAGAAATTGTTTGATTTAGAAACTGGAATCATTCAGAAACCGTCAGCATGCCTGCCCACTGAGGATTTGCTGTATGGGCGGAGCTGCGGTCACAGGCAGAGGGGAGTCTCCTTTGTCACTGTGCGAGCTCCTGCATGAGCATGGCACTTTGGGAGGGTTCCGTGTGACAGGTGAGCTGTGCAGGCCAGCTCCAATCACAAGCACCTCGCCTCGTCATCTCAGGGGCTTTGCCCTGGTGACAAAGTATGGCATAGAGTTGGGAGATACATTCCCCCTGCTGTCTATACCACTCTGTCCCCAAGGATCAGAAGCTTACGAGGATGCTGAGACAACAGATACTGGCGCTCTCGTGATAGGCAGCTTTACAGCTAGGCTAAGCAGTACGTCTCCAAGCCATGTCTTCAGCAGCAGATGCGAACAGGTGGGACCAGAGCAGGACAGGAAGAATGGAATGAATGTCACAGGAGACCTACAGCTGAAAGACTTTTGAGGCCCCTATGAGGGGGTACCAGAAGCCACTGGGTTACAAACTAGGGAGAAGGAATTGAAGTCCTCCCATTTGGATCGGGGTTATCAATCAATATTTTGGTTATTCTGACAGTTCAATTACTTTGCTATTCTTGATTCACTTTGTTTGTTTTATTTCTATGACATGCCCATGAATCACAAACCCTGCTATGCAAACTCTTTTGGTTGCAAGAACCAGAGATTCACCCAGGAGTCATCTCTGGGCATGAGAGAACTCATCACTGGAGTGCCCAACATACCTACCGTGATGATGAGGATAGTTCTACTAGGCCGGGGAAGCAAATGGGACCAACCTCACAAGGTGTCCATGCTGGCTAAATCGAATGGGGTGGCACAGCCTAAGTGGGATGAGAACTTCAACTAGGCCCACCCAGTGGGTCTGTTGTGTAGTGGATACAGTGAGCGCTGTATTTTCTGGTGAATAAAACATAGAATCCAAAGAAGATGCTGAGAGATCACCAGCCTAATAGGAAATTGCTCCACCCAAGAGCGGGATTGTCAATAATGAGGAATTTAGAGGCAAGACACCACGGGCCTTAACCTCAACCTGGCCTGAAACACCGATTCCAGTGTTAAAAGGTAAACTGAGGTATATTTAAACATATTAAGAGTTTATTTGAGCATACATCAACTGGAATTGTCATCATCAAACCAGAAGTGGTTGCTAATGCTTCACTGACAGGAGCTGGGGAGAGGTTTTTAGAGAGAAAAGCGGAAGCAAGCAAGGAAATTATTGATTGGCCATAGCTTAAAGCTAGCTGGTTGCTTGTGTTTGGTTGTCCTTGGGTTTTGATTTTGTAACCCTGGGGCATTGACAGGCTTAGATTTTGGTTGTTTATGTAGGACACCACAGCCTTAGTGCTACCCTAGGCTAATAACCTCCTTGTTTAATTAATTTAATACCAGCAATAGGCAAAGGCTGGGAATCAGACAAGCTAGATCTGAGGCATCCCAGCTTTCTCCATAGCTTATAAAAACTGGCCAAACACAGTTTTATCTTAAATCTGTCCCAGATCCCAGATCACATGCAACTCTAAGTCTTCCGCTTATTATTAAAAACCAATAAGTTAATGGCATAACATTATCAGATGTTGAACAACAATAATGACAACTTCAGTTTCTAGGTGTGCAGGGCAACATGACAGATCCATGGATTTCTTCAACAGCAAGCCAACTTCCATCTTCTGGCAAAAGGGACCCAAAAAAGGAAACGCTTGTGAAGACCCACCTATGGGTCAGTCCTAGTTAACAGCATGGACTTGGGATAGAACAATCGTTTACAAAATAAAAAGGCAGCTTGCAATGTCATTACTTCGGAAGAATCTTTAAACACAGGATTGTCCACTGTAGTAACATGCCAGGTGCCACACTGCTTTCTGAAGACAGTCATTGTTCACATTGAATAAATAACCAACCGCTAGGAAGTTGGTCATTCCTAGAACTCAGAAAGCCTGTTCAGCTCTTAAAGCATGAAAGCATTTTTACTTTCTATAGCCATCTCCACATTTGGAAAAAGAGCAAAATTTTGCCCTTGGCCAGGTAGCTCAGTTGGTTAGAGCATCACCCAGTATGCTAAAGTTGCAGTTTTGGCAAATCGGATGTTTCTCTACCTACCTATCTCTCCTTTTCTCTTTCTAAAAATCAATTATTTTTTTAAATGAGCATAGTTTTCTTCTCTCAAAAGATTGCTAGAAAAAAATCTTGAGGGAGTTGGGAAGTGAGTAGAGGGTATGACAATAATGGAAATATTCTTTAAAACAAATCTTGCTAGCCAGATATCTTATTCTCTGATTGTTTTGTAGCTTTTTAAGAGCTCCTATCACACAGTATTCAAGACCGTGCTCAAAAAACAGGCTGCTCACAGTGAACTGGAAGAGGATACTGACATTCCCCTGACTGGCCAACTGGAAAGTGAAACCAGAAGGAAACTGAGAATTCTGTAAGTGGCTGGAGAGATGAGGTATTGGTCAGTGGGTTCAGGTAGGTTAAAGGTAGCAGTGGGGCAATGTAAATTGGGCCACCAGAGGAAAGAGGAAGGCCAGTGCCAGAAGGTCCCTGAGTCAAAAAGCAGGCACAAGACAGGCACAAGGGCAAGGAAATTGACAAGCATGGGAGATACAGGATAGGACCAAAGATAGGCAATGACAAAGGTTGGAAATCCATGGCAAGAAAGTCTTGAAGAGACTATGAACTTGTATAAAAGTCTGGGGAGCAAGGCTCAGGACTCTGGGCCTTTTAAGAGAGGGGACAGTCAGGGAATGGAGATCCCAGGCATCTGCCCAAGAAATTTCCTGGCCTTATCCTGGGCTAAGCCAATGCTCTTTCCTGCTTTCTGGAGAGGGAAAGCCATGAGGTTCACTGACCTCTGGCAGTGGCGCCAAGGAACAGGCTGTGAGGGATGGGGTGTCCTGTATAATCTCCTTCGTGAGTCGAAGCTTTTACAAAAATCAGGAAGAGAGATTGCCAGCAACTTCAGCTTCGGACTCATAGTGTCTTGGGGCCAGAGACCTCTGAGGTTTCTCTAGAAAAGGGGAAAGCAAACATCCAAGCTTTCAGATCCTTATACAACTGTACAAACAAATGCCCGAAAACATCCCAAAAGTTATTCTACCTCATATATGACATTCTACCCCCATTCCTTCCCATTTAAGCTTATTACTGGTGCTCATTCTAATCTGATTGCACTCAACAAATATTTCCTGAGCACCTACTCTGCGCTGATCTGTGTGTTGATCTTTACAGTAGTGAGAGCCGCTGCCATTGAGGAGCTACCTAGTAAGATTCCACTAGCTTGCAAAAGTGGACAAAGAAGGGCATTGGGTGCCTCTATCTGGACCCTTCACTGGAGTTTTAACTCTTGCATATACTAGTATTTGGCATCCTCTCTTGGCCTGTGGAATAGGTCTCACCCCACCCACTCCTCGGTCCTCACCCTCTCACAGGTAATAGTAGGCTAGATAACTGCTTCCATTCCATTCAAAGTGCCAGCAAATAAAATGAAAACATTCCGTATACATGGCCCATGAAGAACTCATTCTCAGGTTCCGTTATTGCTTTTAAAGCACAAGTAGTAAACCTTAGCTCTCTGCCAAGTGAATTCATTCAGCCCTTCCCAGCAATTTGTTTCCTGGGTTGAATTATCATGCACTCTTTAAGGAATCTTAACTGAAAACTTAAAATCTGTCATGTCAAAGGCCTTCCTCCAGATCTAATTAAGCTGGGATGCTCACTCCTGACACATTCCCTTTCAAAAATATTCTGATCTGAGAACCAGGAAACACAGCTACCCCTGGAGGTCCCTTTATTTGGGAGGACAACAGCCCAAGCCATTGACATGCCAGGATGACTTGCTTTGTGTATTGACATGAAAGGGCCTGGCGGCTTGAGTATTTTGAAAAGCTGTGCCTTGGTGTGGCTTTCATGGTGAGTCATTCTGAATGGGATTACTGAAAATCTTCCTGCTAAATGCAAAGGGGTTTCCAATGGCACAAACAATGCTGTTTTTCCACGCTGTTTCCAAATGTCACTTTCACTGGGATACGCACAAGGCATAGAAAAATCAAGCTTAACTCATAGAGCCAGTCTGGCATTTCTGCCTTGTCCCTGCCTTCAAGCTGATCCTCACTAAATTTATTTTAAAAGTTTGGGGGTCAGCCCAGGTGCCCAGGTTAAAGGCCAATTAGAGGCAAGGAAAGAAGCACCAAGCCCATGCCATGTGCTGTTCCTTTACTCCTCAGCTCTGATTGTAAGAATAGCTGGGTCTGAAAGAGCCGTCAGCCCTACATTCCACCTATGAAAAGGACTTGGAAGGTTCTAGCACTGGCTACACTGTGTAGTGCGACATATAAACAGGAATTTAGTCTCAGTTTTTAAAGATAACTCACATTCCTTTCAGGTTGAAGACAAACATTGAAAAGTACAAGGAAGTAATTCACTGGATTATGGAGAAACGTGGAAGTAAGGACTTCTCTACCATTTTCCATCCTTGACTGGCTCTCCTGTGTGCATTCCACTGCCTCTCACCTTCTGCCATGTCCGCAAAGGAGGCAGAAGTGCTCATTCCCTCATTTGAGCACCTACTGGTCTATTGAGGTCCTAGCTGCCAGGGATAAAATATGGAGAAAGATGGACACAGTCTGGGATCTCAACGGGATTACGCTTTGGTGGTGGGGTGCAGGTTGGTGGGAGTGGTGAAAATAGACAAGCAAGCAGGAAATTCACATATAGTATGGTTAAGTGATATGGTGGGAAGGGGATGCTATGAGACCACACAGAAATAATTCCTAGATTTGGGGAGGTCTAATAAGTCATTATTAACATAAGCTTTGGGAAAGAAATAGCCCTTTTACCATATACTGAAGGCATTTGTGGTCCAGCTTTTAAGATTTGCCAATCATGGAGCTTGCCAGTTTTTGGAGTCTAATCATGGAAAGCTTGAACCAAGAGCTTAAGCTTAAAGGCTACCTAATTTAGAAACTCAAAACCACCATATGGAATATCTTTCAAATAACCAGATCCAACTAACACAGAAATGGCAATGATAACAATGGCAAACAAAAGGAATCAAGCGTAGTATTTTTCTCACTGAGCCAGGACACAGCCTCACATTCTCTCTCGAGGAAGTGCTCCCGTTCTCCAATACCAATTTAGCCCCTGACCTAACTCGTACAAAATAATCGCTATGGGCTAGGTACTTTCACATATGTTATCTGTTCAAATTAATTTTCATAACCATGTGAAGTAGCATAAAGAAAGTAAAGCTCAGAGAGTCATCGGGTGAACATGAGCCACACTCATGTCCAAAAGCTCTCAGGCCATGTCCAAGGCTCATCCTTTTGGCATGTTCAATGTGTCTAGAGAAGAAAAGTGGGGGCCTTCTAAGTCTAGGTTTCATGTTCTCAGTGGAGTTACTGAACCCTGGTATGGGAAATCAGGGGCAGGGAGAAGAAGGAATTGCCACCTTCAGTCTCTATAGTGGAAGGGCCCTGTCTCCCACCAAACTTACACAATGGCTTAGCCCCAAGCAGGGCAGGTTTAATATGCAAGTCTTGTATTAGTCGGTAGTAAGACAATTGGATCTCCATATCCAAAGATTGAATTGTATAAAGAGGCCTTACCTGTGTCAGTCACGTATTCAGCCCAGATGGTCTCACAACACATTATTCTCTCAAGGCTGGATCCTTGAGATGCAGCTCCAGCTGTGGGAACGGTGGGCAGAGATCTCATTCTAAGGACAGGAGATGGGGGTGAGGAGCCTCTGATGGTCCAGGTCCAGCTCCCAGGTCAATCAGCAGTAACAGCCTCCCAATGACCTCCTCCAACACTGTGTTGATGACAAGGGATAACTAAGCTCTCTTAACCAACCACTCCTAACCTAGTTGTGGAGGGTACCAAGGTGCCCCTTCCAGTGAAGAGCTTCCCAGCTGATAAGGTGCTAGAAGCTCCTCCCCACTGCCCTGGCCACTGTTGTGCCCACTGGTTGTCAGACATCCACCCAGAGTCACTTGGAGGAGGGATTGTTCTTCAACTGTCCTTACTAGTTTAGTTCCATTTTTTCAGTTGGAAAAAAAATGGACAAAAATTAAAATAAAAAGAAACTGCTTGTTGCTAAGAAAACTAATGCTTTAAGAATTTAAATTGTGCTTTGAATGCTTTAAGAAGACCCAATAAAAAATAGCTTTTAAAAAAAAGTGCTTGGAACTATATATGCACCATATCTAAAAGATTGGAGAATATATAGAAATGTTTTTAAAACTCTATAATTCTATGCTCAGACTATTTAGAATTTTCCGAAATTGAAAATTAGATATAATAAATTATGAGTGTGGTTTGAGCAAAAATGATCACAGAATCCATCATCAGACCCACACACCAAGAAAAGACCTTGCCCTACATTGAAGTAGAGTGTTAATATAGATTTATGTTTTAAGTTCAAATAATATGTTTAAGGTAAGTTTTCTTTTGTAATGACTCCCCACTTTAGCCTGTTTTTTAATTAATTGAGTTGGCAGCCACGCTTGTTATTGTCTTGGGGCTAGTGTGTCACCCCTCACATCCCAAGTCTGGACTGGGTGGTCTTCACATGGTATCTGGCATCTCGCACTGGGCTGGCATACTGCAGGCCTTTGATAAACAGGTGTTAAATGAATAAGTAAATAAATAAGAGTTCAAAATTCAACCCAGCTCTCTCTTCTTGCTCTTTCCTGGCAGCTTTCCTTACTTGGGAGAATATGGCCTATGTCCCAAACCCCCAAATTCTCTTGAGAAATAGATCTATGTTTTCTTTCTCTTTTCTACCAAAGCCATACTCAGAGATTCAGATATGTTTACTCACACATTTAATTTATTGAGCCAAACGGAGCCCACGACAGAAGGGAAAAAACCTCATCGTATTCGTCGTAAAAAGAAATTAGATACAGAAATAGATACAGAGTGGATAAAGAGCAGCACTAAGGTAAGTGTGGCAGTGGTATTTTTATTTTGTGCAGGTTTTAAGGCTCAGGTGGGATACTCACACCATCCAGGAGCTGTCAAAACCAATACACAATGTGAATACAAGAAAAATGTGTTCACTATATGGAGGCACATCGGGGGTTATCACAAATTGACTAGGACTTTTACTAGGACTCATTCTCCCTAAAGGGCCTATATTTGGCCGTTAGATGAGGTTGGGGGAGGAGTAAAGAAAATATATGTTATAATATATAGGTCCTTCTCCTAATAAATTTTAAACCCATGTTAAAAAGTAATTACATAGTGAATGGATAAATAAACTGTGGTACATCCAAACAATGGAATATTATTCAGTGATAAAAGAAATGAACTATCAAGCCGTATAAAGACATGGAAGAGCCCTAAATTCATATTACTGTGTTAAGGAAGCCAATCTGAAAAGACTACATACTGTATAATTTCAACTATATACCGTATAATTTTATTTTTGAACATGGTGGGGATTAGGGGCACCAATGTGCTGTGCAGTTGAAAATCAAGTATAACTTAAGTCAGCCCTCTGCATACATGATTCCCAACTGAAAATCAAAAATACAGCTGACCATTGAACAACCTGAGTTTGTACTGCACGGGTCTACTTATATATAGATAAGTGGGCCTGCACAGTTCAAAGCCATGTTGTTCAAGGGTCAACTGTATGACATCTGGAAAAGGCACAACTATGGGGACAATAAAAAGATCAGTGGTTGCCAGGGGCTAGGGAGGAGACAGGAATGAACAGGTGCAGCACAGAGGAATTTTAGGGCGTGAAAATACTCTGTATGATACTATAAGTGAATGCATGTCATTAGACATTTGTCTAAATCCATAGAAGGTACAACACCAAGAGTAAACCCCAATGTAAGCTATAGACTTTGCATGATAATGATGTATCAATGTAGGTTCATTGACTATATGAATATACACTAAGGTGCAGGATGGTAACAGTGGTGGAGTGTGTGTGTGTGTGTGTGTGTGTGTGTGTGTGTGTGTGAGAGAGAGAGAGAAAGAGAGAGAGAGAGAGAGAGAGAGAGAGAGAGAGAGAGAGAGCGGGAGATATAGGGAATCTCTGTACTTTCTGCTCAATTTTGCTGAAAATCAATCACATACTAATATTTATGAAGATGGATACTATGAAGTTATAAGTGAAAACTAGTCTCAAAATATTGGTCATTTAGAGTGAGTTAATAATCAGGTCTGAAGCTCAAGAAGGAGACATTGATGTGGGAATTAGAAAGATGTGATAGACTTATGTCTTCTGTAAATATCTATTGAGAATCTACTATGTCAGGCCCTCTTCTGGGTGCTGGAGATACAGGGGTAAACAACACAACGCCCTTGTGCCCATAGAACTTCTGTTTCAGTTGAGGAGACAGCCAATATTCAAAAAAATACTATTCAGTGCTATGCCAGGTGTTGGTAGGTGCCATGGGGGGGCAGCATAAGGGGCTCTTGAGTTGTCGAGCTGAGAAATGAGTTGCTCTAATACCTGCAGGGCAATCTCAGAAATGCCCTTTGAGCCTAGGCATGCATGAAATGAGGGAGTGAGTATGCAAATACCAGGTGGAAGGGCATGCTAACCAGAGCAAGCAAGGACAGCTGCGAGAGAGGAATAGGGAATGAGCCTCTGTGCCCAGATCAGGTAGAGCCATGTGGGTCACAGCAAGATTCTGGGTTTTATCCTGGAATGAGGTGAAACCATTGGAAAGTCTAGAGCAGGAGACAAACATCACCTGGCTTAGTCTCTAGAAAAATCTTTCTGGCTATTGTGTGGAGAATACATTTAAGGGACAAGAATAAAGGCAGGAAGTCCAGTTGGGAGACAGGGCATCAACTCAGGTGAGAGGTGATGGGCGTCTCTACTAAGTGGTGGCAGTAAAGATGGTGAAAGTAGTCTGATTTGGGATATTTTTTGAAGGGAGAACCAGGAATTGGTATCCTGTTGAATTGGAAGTGGAGTGTGAGAGAGAAAGAAGACAAAGAATGAATCTAAGAATTCTGGCATGAGAAACTCAGTAAATGTTATTTTATCATTTACTAAATTGGAGAACACAAGGAAACTAACAGAAACTAACATTTATGTAACACCATGCAGGTTACAAAGCACTTCCACATATAATGTAAATGTAGCTTTTCCCAACAATTCCTGTGTGATGTGTGCTATTATTATCCTCACTTTACAGTTGAAGAAAGTGAGGCCCAGAGGAACATACATGACTATCTCAGGACACTGAGCCCGTGTTGGCCAAGGCAATGCTCATTCGCTGCTGAAACATATGATTCCCAAAGCTAAGTGGCTTAACAACCAGATGCAAGGTTCTTGCTCATGTCACATCTCATCTGAGTCCCACAGCTCTCTGAGCATCCCTCCTAGAGGCTGGCTCTGAGGGATCTGGGTCCTTTTATCATGGGTCTCCACCATACTGGAGTTCTTTGTGTCCAGCATGGACAGGAAATGAGCCAAGATCCAGGCTTAAATTTCATTAACCAAAATGAGTCACATGACCTCACCTAGATGCAAGAAGGCTAGGAAATGTACTCCTGCTGTGTGTCCAGCAGAAAATGAAAACACTTTTCACTAAGAGGCAAAACAATCAAACATCTTCGAGTAATGAGGGTAAAAATGTAAGAGCTAGAAACGGATACTGTCAGCCCAGGTGTGGACACTCCTGGCCTCCCTTCATCTCTTGGGCCTACATGTAGAAAGGAAGTCAGTGGGACCAGTCAGAACCTCTACAGACAGAAATTAAAGGAAAGCGGGGGGCTCTTCAGGTTGGAAGCCCCAAGAGAAGCCTTCAGTTTTCACATCTCCCTGGCCTCATCTCCAATCCATTAATGAAACCTTCCTTGGTGTCTTGCTCCAACCAGGCTAGTGAACTCCTGCCCTGTCCTGCCTCGGACCTTTTGGTCCTGGAGTGTCTGTTCCTCAAGTGAACTTAAATGTGTTCCCTGTAGCCAAGAGGAAGGTTCTCACCAAGATCTCTAAGCAGAGGATCCTTCCTAATTTATCATTCACATCAGACTGCCCGAAATGGCTATGAGTAGTGGGACATTTGGTTATTTTTGTTTTTACAAATGGCAGTAAGTTTGGAGTAGTCTGCTGAGTCAGGCAGAGCGCTGCTTATGTGTGCACCCGGCCAGCCTGGAGCCAGTGGCTCCACAGCGGTCAGGGAGAGTTCATGGACAGAGAGCAGCAGAGCAAGCTCACAGACAGCAGCTGCCTCACAGCACAGGGCCTGTCTGTGAGGCACCGCTTTTTCTCTAGAAGAATTAAAGGAAGGTCCAGAGGTGTAGTATCTTACCTTTTAGCTCTTAGCCTCATACTCTGTTCCCAAGAAAATAGTGATGGGATTCAGGCTTTTAGATATGCCACTTATTATACAGTTATGCACTGTACAACAATGCAACATGTTCGTGGTGATGCTGAGGTAAACAAACATACTGCACAGCCAGTCATATAAAAGCCCAGCGCATTCAGTTATGGTAGTAGACTACACCATCTATGGCTGTGTGCACTCTTAGATGTTTCCACAATGATGCAGTTGCCAAGAGATGCTATTTCTCAGAACGTGTGCCTGTCGTTAAGTGACACATGATGATAATCTCCTAGTGAGAGAAAAATGGAAGGACTTTACCTCTGTGTCAGAGATTTTGCTTTTCCCATGGGGTCCTCACCGTTAGGAAAGTGTCATTATATGACAAGTGAGTTTGACAAGCAAAAAGCATCTTGAGAAATCTGGCTTTCAGGTGGCTTTTGAAAATAAGGCCTAAAATACAAATATTCTCTTCCATGAGCAAGATCTAGAAGCTTTTTACAGGCCATCAGCAGCAAACCAACCACAGATATTCTTACAAGGCACATTTTTAGGTTAAAAAAAAGAAGAAGAAGAGCATTAATTTGTAAACTAAATATGAGCGGCGGCTGAGAGCTTAATGGTCAGAGGCAGCCTGTTTGCACTACTGAGCCTGCAGGTTAACGGGAGGGGCTCTCCTCTCACTGGTAACTTTGTGTAAGTCTTTAGCCTTAGCCTCTCTTCAATGGGGACAATGATAGTGCCAATCGTGTAGGGTCACTGTGTTGTGGAAGTAAAGTGTTTGCCGCAGTGCCAGGTGTGGGGATAGAGTCTGTTACAGGACCTTCTAACCTCCCATAGTGGTTTTCATCCAGATGCCCAGGTTCCTGAGCACTTACAGGCTGTGCCATAGAGAGAACACCTACAGTGACTCCCCAAATAGCTGCCTTTCTTTCTTCTATTGTCTTAGATGTTGGCATTCTGCTGCAAGCTTTCTTTATTTTCCTTCTTTATTTTATTTTTATCACCATTTATCCCTCTTCCATCTCCACCCATCCCTCTCACCCCCACAATCACCACACTGTTGTCCTTGTCTAGGGGTTCTTTCTCTATTTTTTTCTTTTTTGCCTCAATCCCTCTACCACCAGCCCCAACACCACCCCCACCAGTGCTGTCTGCCTGCTCTCTATCTATGAGCCTGTCTCTATTTTGTTTGGTAGTTCAGTTTGTTCATTAAATTTCACATTATGAGTGAAACCATATGATACTTGTCCTTCTCTGATTGGCTTATTTCACTTAGCATGATGTTCTCCAGGTCCATCAATGCTGTCGCAAAGAGTAAAATTTTCTTCCTTTATATGCCCAAGTAGTGTTCCATTGTGTGCGGTAAATGTACTATAGCTGTTTTACCCAGTCATCTACTGTTGGACACTTGGGCTGCATCCAAATCTTGGCTATTATAAATAGCACTGCAATGAACATAGAGGTACATCTATTCTTTCAAATTAGTGTTTCAGGTTTCTTTGGATAAATTCCCAGCAGTGGAATTTCTGATTTATAAGGCAGTTCCATTTTTAATTTTTTGAGGTATCTCTATACTGCTTTCCACAGTTCTTCTTTGAAGGTTTACAAAACTCCCCAGTGAAACCATCCAGACTATAGCTTTTTT